ATAAATAAAATCATAAAAATAATAATTATTTATTTCTTATATTTTCACGCACATCACTCATTAAATAAAACAAGTTTCAACGGGTTAGATGCACTGATTTTATTTATTTACTAGCTGACCCGGCGAACTTCGTACCGCCTTAGCGTAGCTTTGATGCACTACTTTATTTTGTATAGCTGACCTATCTTATGTATGAGTACCTATTCAATTTGAACTGGAATCTATAATATCCTCCATATAAAAATGAATCCTTATTTCCCTGGTCTCGCCATATCTGAGGACTTTACTATTTTTTATTAAATAAAAAACAACATATATATTTTCATAATAGTCCGAAGGCACGTTAAGCCGTTGGTCCCGGCTGCACCTGCAGTCGTTAGCACCCGCCAATCCGCATTGAGCCCGCGTGGCGGGTCATGGCCCTATCTCCCTATTCCATTCATAGGGAAGGCCTGTGCCCCAGCAGTGGGGACATTAATAAGCTGATGTTGATGATGATGATGATGTTGACTTTCAATATATTGGACGAAACATAGTAATATTTTATTTTACCGTATTATAATAATAAGTCTCTGTCTAGGACGTCCAGGTGGCAGCTTTATTGCGAAGAAATTGATTTTTTTTATAATAGATGTCGCTAGGTGCGCTTAAATGTGATTCATGTAAGTTGATTTTTCTGTGAGATAAACTTTTTAATGTAATATGAATTGTCATGTTTGTGTACGATAGCGCAAAAAAAAATAATATTGTATTCTACCACATAAATTATAGTACTTTTATATTGATAATTAAAGCAATTCGTTCCAATGTATTCTCTAACCATTCCAAAATATCAAAAATGCACAATGTTAATATTCAAGTTTTCACTTCTGCCGGCACTCACGGAGTGCAATCCGTCGTTATTTTTTCTATTTTTGTATAAAAATCTTAATGCAGTTCACAGAATACATCTACTCACCAAGTTTCAACAGTATAGTTCTTATAATTTCGGATGAAAGTGGCTGCGACATACGGACAGGCAGACAGACAGACAGATTTTCTTTATATTTTTTTCCGTATTAACCTTGTACAGAGTATTAGAAAACTACAAAAAAAAATCAGCCAAATCGGTCAAGCCGTTTTCATGTTATGTCGTGACAACGGAAAACGGGTTTCATTTTTATATATATAGATTGACGTTTTAGTACAGTCAATCTGTAGGTTGAGTGGTGAAAAAAAAACCTAAAGGGTAAGTCTTGTTTTTTCTGTTGCCAAATGACGTCAGTAAGCCACCTTGGCGATGGGCATGTTCAACTCGTAGGCGTTTTTTTAAAAACTCAAAAAAACGTCAAAATTTTTTTGAAACGCATTTTTCTTGTTTTGTATGCATTTTAGAAACTTTTTTTTCGACCATAATTGTAGAGGGCGTTGAGTACTACAATTTATGTCAGTGTTGCAATCTCGTACAACAAAAAATGCGCATTGTAGGTGGCGCTAAATTCTCAAAAAAAGTGTTTTTTCACTTTTTCACCCTGAAAATATCATTTTAATGAAAAACTTTAAATGGCTAAGTTGTATCGTACATAATTACCAACAACTTTTGTATAAACATTTTTTTTGTATTACTTACCGTTTTCAAGTTATAAATTGCGCAGGTATGAAAAATCCAATAGAGCGGTTTTGGGCAGTTCAAGTACACATTTGCAATGCACATTTCAATGTACGTTTTTACTATATTTTTTTTCAATCATGAAAAAAAATAAAAATAAATCTATTTTTTTTATTTTTTTTTGTTTTTTAATCATGAAAAAAAAAAAAAAAATAGTAAAACGTACATTAAAATGTGCACTGCAAATGTGTACTTGAACTGCCCAAAACCGCTCTATTGGATTATTCATACCTGCGCAATTTTTAACTTGAAAACGGTAAGTAATACAAAAAAATTGTTTATATAAAAGTTGTTGGTAATTATGTACAAAAAACTTTGCCATTTAAAGTTTTCCATTGAAATGATATTTTCAGGGTGAAAAAGTGAAAAAACCCTTTTGTTGAGACTTTAGTGCCACCTACAATGCGCATTTTTTGTTGTACGAGATTGCAACAATAACATAAATTGTAGCACTCAACGCCCTCTACAATTATGGTCGAAAAAAAAGTTTCTAAAATGCATACAAAACAAGAAAAATGCGTTTCAAAAAATTTTTGACGGTTTTTTTGAGTTTTTCAAAAAACGCCTACGAGTTGAACATGCCCATCGCCAAGGTGGATTACTGACGTCATTTGGCAACAGAAAAAACAAGACTTACCCTTTAGGTTTTTTTTTCACTGAAACGATATTTTTTTCGACAGATTGACTGTACTATTTCGCATCCTTTGCAGGAATGCGTTGTCAGAATAATGATTTTTTATTTATTTAGTTTTTCGAGCTACCTTCGAGAGACTTTTGGCGATGGCGTAGCTTTTCGACATTGACGATGTGCTTGTAATAGCCTAGACTGAATAAACGATATTGATTTTGATTTTTTACTTAGCGTTCGGATATTTCATTGGAAGATTTTGAAAACTTTGTCTTGAATGAATTTATTAGTTAATTTAATTAATAAAGTACTTTATTTAATTCTTTTATATAATTTTGAGTTTATTTATTTGACCTTAACTACCATAAACTACCACCAGTTCCAAAATTGAGAGACCTTTCTGAGAAGAACCGGCGAAACAAACTCAGAGAGGCTGTCTATCTCCTTCTTATGTTAAATCATCCAAACAAAAGAACTATAATATCTGTAGGTACAGTGTGTGCTCGGGGTTGGGATTTTATCTGTTGTATAATGGATATCCAAGCTAGTGGTATATACCAACCATCTTCCCTATTGAAATTTGGATATTTCTTAAACTCAATAGCTTCGCGTATCATCCTAGGAATGAATCGTTGTTCAATTCCAAGGATCTATGGTTTATCAAATCTAATGTAATTGTTTGGTCCCCCTAATGCATGTGGGGGACGGACCATCATAATTTTACCACCCACGCAAGGTGTTCAGAACTTTTTGACTTATTTCTACAAGGCAGGTTTTGTTTCTCATGTACTTTAGTTTTTAAGAGAACTTAAAAAATCAGTTTACCGATCATATAAATCAGACGCACGTAAATGTGATTGCGCTTATTCAATTCTACATCGCGACAGGTTTACAAAGTACATGGAGTTTTTGTTCAAGTAGTTTTAAAAAAATGTTGCGATGGAGACATAAATCAGCGCCATTTATTATTATCACTACATACAGTTTCCTATGAAATCACATTTACGTGCGTCTGCGTGGCTTTTATTTGCGAAAGTTGCATAACTTTCACCATCGCGCCATCGAGCTCCTCGGATGATAAAAATCGGTGTTTTAATTTTTCTATATTACTCTGAACTTCACTAATAAACGCATTAAAGCATTCATAACTTTTAAATATTAATTGATGCCCTCAAATTAGACACGTTGAGCGTTGTTGCTACGAACTGATTCAGACCGTATATTGTAATCGTATGAAAGTTTACAATACGGTTATAGCAGATTTTTCCAATGATATGATAAATAACGTAAGTACGTTTCACATGTATGTCCTACACAATAACATGTCACGAATGGAAAATTGCTTTCTACGTTTTATCAAAAACATGTGTGTCATATTTTCGAATAATTATTAATTACAAAAAGGGATAATGAATCTATTTAAAACTCTTATCTGATAACGGCATTGAACCGTTATTAATTGCTGCTATTAAAAGCTATTAAATATGTTCATTCGCTGGTTACTGTTATAGGAGTGTACACAAGTGATTAATTGTATATAAAAATGATTGTTTATTTCCTCTATATCGTTATATTTTTGTGCTGCGTTCATGTCGTCTTCAATTACAATGGAAAAGCCAGGGCATTGAAGCGTATACCTGGATTCAGGGACAGATTCATTGTGGGAAATGCCTTAGAGTTGCTACTGTCTCCAGGTTAGTATTTTTGGCAATCACTGAAAGTAAAAAAGCCCTATCTAGAGCAGTTACTTAAAAATATTATTATCGTTATATCAGAACTATAAGTGATAAGCAAGTCCAAAGTTTTTTTATAAGATTTTTTAAAATACTATTAAGATAAGAAGGAACACCTCAAAAATCACAAAGCTTTATGTGATTTTTTAATGATGTATAAATTGGTGTTTATTGCTTCATTCTGTTTTCGAAAACAAAATTTTGTTTATATTTTTGTACACTTTACATATTTGTTTTGACTTTCAGTTGATTTGATGCAATTACCAAGGAAATCGGCAAAAAAATTTGGCAAAATATTCCGCTTTTGGTCATTTCCTATTGGCGCAGTGGTTATTTACGACCCCGAGGATATTGAGGTAGCCAGAGATGTTGTAGATCCGAGTATTTAGATAATAGATACCTTTGGAAAAAGTGTTTGAAATACTACCTAGTCTAGCCATAAGTTCTGTTACAAATGAAAATGACTTCTTTTGATGAAATAATGTAATATTATTAAAATTTATACCTCCATATTTATTAAACTCTCAGCAAAAAATAAAAAAAACATTCTATTCAAAATGGCCACCTTTGGCTTTTATACAGGCCTTTAATTTGTTTGACCAGGAATCTGGATTTACGCACTGTTTCCAAGGAAAATTTCGCCACTGCTTGCTCCAAATATTTTTTATGAGACCAATGTCGCCGGGTCGTTTAAAGCAGGGCATGTCCTCTAAAACTGACCATAATTTGAAGTCTAAAGTGTTGAGGTCTGGGCTAGATGAGGGTCAGTCTTCAGCTCTTATAAAGTGCGGAACGTTGATTTCAAACCAGACTTGGGTAGTTCGTGCTTTGTGACCAGTAGCAGAATCCTGCTGAAAATTCCACGGGATATTTTTGAAAAGTGTATTGCGGAGAGGTTTCACAACATGATCCAAGACTGTATCCTGATACACTTTGGCTGAAGTTTTCACTCCTTTTTCACAAAAATGTAGTTTTGTGACTTCTTGATCACAGACGCCCCATCAAACCGTCACTGACGCAGGATGATGACCACGTTGTACCTTTCCGACCTCTTGAGCGGCTTCTTTAGAACTGTGAGTGTACATTTTATCATTTTGCTTATTGTAGTATTCTTCAATGGTGAAAATTTATTCATAGGGGTTTCGACGAATTCTTTTTTTAAAAGTATTAACAGCCTTTGTAGTTCTAACAGCACGCGGCCGCCCCGATCTTTTCTGTTCTTCGACAGGCGGGGTGTTGTTGTATCTGTTGATAGTACGACATACGAACATACGGCTGATACCAAACTTTTGAAGTGTCTGGAATATAGTCGACGCGACGGCTCCATGCCCACTTTGTGCAAGGCGATCACTAGAATCATATTTTCATGAACATCCCATTCCATATTTTAATTTTATAATGAACACGAAAAAATATGTGAAATAGCTCAAAATTGAAAAAAGTTTTATAATAAGTAATATACGTGTTCCAAATTTAAAATAATTATAAAATTTGACAAAAAAAGAAAAATTTTTATGGAACAGTATTTATGGCCAGACTAAGATACAAGATACGTATTTTCTAAATACTTTTTAAGATAAAGATACTTTTTGGAAGATAGCATATTATTATTGGTTTTAAGGTTTATTTAAGTGAGTAAATTGTATTACAAATTACAATGCAATACATTTTTCTTAGTTTAAAGAATTGGTTTTGTTAAAGTCCGAATTTCATTAAATTCGTCCGTTCCGCTCGAATTGGAGCGCCCGTCTGGGGAAGTAACCTCCACCTTACAGAAGACCACAATAAAATAACACTACCTTTTGGTGGTGTTATATTTATTTCGGTGAGTAAGATTCCAAGGCTCCACGAGATAGGGGATTGGGTCAGGGTAGGATTTAAACATTAAAAAAATATAAATTCCACGATCAGAAGGTCTCAGTAGCAAAACGTCCAGCAGACGTTTATTGATTTATCATAAAAATCAATTAGAACGCTTAGGTAGGTCATTACTTAATCCGATAAAAACAATTGCTATAAATGCGACAATATTGTTACAAAATTATAAATTGTAAGATTATAAAATTGAAATCTTAATTCTGAAAGCGCTGTTAACAGAAGGTTCATAGGTTTAAAATATTGCCTGCACGACACGCGAGGGCAAGAAACGAGTCTGCAGCGTAACCAACTATGCATTTCATTATAACAAACATTTTTCATAGCAAGTTTTAAAACTTAATTACCTATAAATTCTTTAAATTAACAAACATTGATTTGGAGACTATCAAAGTACCCTTAGCATAGGATTACTACTTAAAATTTGAAAAGTCTTGACAAAATTTCGATTAAAGTACGGACATTTTAGTCACAAAATGCAAACATCACCTACTTAGTTACAGTGATATTATACGCGTGGTAGCAGACGCTCGCATCGCGAAGGGAGACCCCCTTGTATATGTTATATATTGTTGATTTTTAAAGATAAATTATATTTTGTTTTAAATTATTACACTTATTTGATATAACGTAATAAGTAGTTTTACTCATATACCTTCTAATAAAAAAACCCGGACTAAGTAGTAAAATTTACATAAAATCATGTCGCTAACAATACAATGAATTAGATAATTTCAAATTTAATAATTGTCCACTCGTATTTTGGTTGCTGTGTCATTCAGTATAAATATTGCTTACAACCCTGCTCTCCAATTCCTCAATGCTCTTAGACAAGAAACCCTTTGGCAAGATCGCAAATACAAAAAACTTGTAATTAGAAGGTAATAAGCAAAAAAAGCACCGAATTAGTGTTTAATGCCAAATACAAAAGACAGCTGCAAAAGCTTGAGGTTCAAAAAAGTGTATCCCTTTGAATATTTGATAAACATATTGGTCTATTCAGATAAATTTATGCACTTAATATTGTAATGATATTTTAATATTTATAATAGCTAGTGCTTTATAACACATTTTTTCAAGTTTATAAATTAGTTTTACTTTCTATCATATGAGTGTACACATTTAAAAAATGACGATTTGCTAAATTGACGTTCTGCTATACAGATCATCTGAGAGTTGGACGTGTTGCTATATGGAAATTTTGCTTATTAGGTTTACTGTTCATTAGACGTATTGCATTGTTCGATGTTTTGCTACTTAGACCTTATGATGCAACACTATTTTTAGGTTCACAAATTCATTAATTATGTCTGTACTTAGTTTCGCTATGCATAACCGTTCGTCAGTTCCTCTGTTCAAGGTTTGTTCAGGGTCTCTTAGGCCCACTTGCAGCAATCTTGTTTATGCAGACACTTGTCCCCAAACTTGGCTACGTAGATGGAAAGTAGGTAATTACTTTAAATACAGTGGCTAGAACTTTTAGTGAACGAAGACATCATTTCAATTTTAAAAATAATACGAACTGCATTTAAATTATGTATTTAAAAAAATCACCTGCTAATGCACCTGTAATTTTATTGTACCGATTAAGGGCACAATCTTTTTTACATTTATTTATTTTCAATAATCTAGCGTGTAAAATAAAAGGTAGGTCATGAAATTAGATGCTATGTTATTACGAAGATATAAATGTATAAGCAAATGCCTCCAAACAGGCGATTACCTTATTTCATTTTTGTTTTTTAAGTATTTAACTGCTAGACGTTTAGATCTGATTAGTAGAATCCCGTCTGATGACTGGACCGCGTGGATTTTTTTCAAGTAAAAATTTACTCCAGACGATTGCGTATTAAAAAATAGTTCGTATTGTTTTTCAAATAAAAGGTAGTCTTCATTCAGTAAAATTTATCTATCTTCAGTATTTAACGTACTTACCCACCATGCGGCATAGGTAGTAGTGGGACTAATCGAGGGGCTTTTAATATGTCAACTGGAATAAAGTTTATTTTAATTTATTTCATTATAAATTCTTTAGTTGCTTTTTGTCATTGATATCTTTGGAACACTTTAACATACACACACAATATTGTGTGTGACCCAACACGTACTTGGCCAGATTATTACATTAAGTATTTAAGCAAATAAAGCAAATAATTCCTAATTTTATTATGAGCTTTTATATTTTCAGAAAGTTCTACAAAGCATGAAACATAATGAGAAAGCTCTTATATATAGAATCCTACAACCGTGGTTAAAAGATGGCTTACTCTTGAGCAACGGTAAGTTAATTTCTTATATGTTCAGGATTTAATAAAAGACTATAGTTAATTATGTTATTTACGTAATTGTTACCATATACCTTGTGTTTAGCGAGTTTCCAATGTATTGGCACTGTTGCAAGCACCATGATCTAACTCCGTAAATAACATAAATTACTATAATGTTTGTGATTATGAAAGTTTATTAAAACTCTTTTTAACGGGTATATATAAATCCGATCTCAAATCCAATGACGGGTCTGAATCGTCAAGAATAATTAAAAAAGATAATAAAGCGCGCTTTATACTACTATTCGTTTAACTAGTTTATATTAAGTGGAAACCGTAAATGTCCGGCCCTGATTTAGGGTCTCCTCCACTCCTTCGTTGCCCCATGGCCCACACATCTCTAAATCCGGCCTTGCCAGCAGCTGAGTACTTATGCGTCAAACATTTTCTCTGGGTGAAAAAAAGCGTGGTAGTAGCGGTATTTTTTTACTACATCTGCTATCATCACAGCACATACGATGTGGTGGGATAATTTGCTGTGCCTTATACAGCTAGCATTTTATTTAGGTGGTAACATTTTTCCCATCGATTTTTAGAAATGAATGAAAGAATCACATTATGTTTTTCGTTAAAATTGTCGATTAAATGGAAATTTATTATATTGTTATTACTGTTAAAATAATTAATTATTTGACGTTGTATCGATTGATCTTCAAAAACACAATTTGCTTATTGAATGAAACTTCAACTGTCGTTTTCAAACAAATCTTTTACTACAGATTGGTCCTCCCGCAAATATGTACATAAACCATCGTTTCAGAGTTCGTAGTTTTTATTATTCATTTATCGGAATAAATGAAGGTATAATACTAAAGTAAAGCATTAGAAAAACTATTATGATTTAAAAAATATTATATAATAAGTAGGTAATTATACTTAATATGAACCCGGATGTAGCTCCTAGTGCTCTCACACAAGAGATAAGAGGAAAGATTATTTGTGTTATTGTGTTTATTAACAATCAACATATTGATGATTGAATTGATGTAATCGCTCTGGTAACAAAACTACATATCAACTAATCAGTATTTATAAAAATTATGATAAACGAAATTAGGTATCCGTTATTGTTAAAGTGTAGATAATTTTTATCAGCGAATTTGATTCCTGACCCACCATTTGTAACAAGTACGTAATTATTTCTTTTTTTTCTGCAAGGCGCAGCAAATGACACCATCTCATCTGACGTGTAGTGTTACTGTAGCCCACAGTGTCTGGAGTGGATGAAGATAGCCGATAGAAAAAAAGCTACTTTTGTGATGTTCGAATATTTGGATAGGTGACCACAATATATTATTTTGAGTTCTTCTGATCCTCAGAAGATAGCACTTAAAGTCGCAGTTGTTAGGATTTACCAAATCACACTGAAACCGCATGATGGGTTATTTTACACTATTCTAAGCTCCAGAATTACGTAGGGAAAACAGACATCCTACGTTATTCTGCCCATATAGAAGCGTCTGCATCCCAACAGTTGTACGTTACGTAATGTTTTACTCTGGCAATAATAATACTGAACTGGCTGTTATACGTTAAAGGTTTAAAGTGGCAGCAGCGGCGCAAAATCCTCACACCGTCTTTCCACTTCAATATCCTTAAGCAGTTCTTGGTCACGTTGGAGGAGAACAGCGCTCGTTTGGTGAAGGACCTGGAGGGCAAAGTGGAACAGGAGATCGACATTGTGCCGCTCATCTCAGAATTCACACTCAATTCTATTTGTGGTACAGTTTGAAAATATATATTCTATACTTACTTCAAGAACTCTCTAAATAGGCTATTTATAATTTTGATAGTTTGAGTTGATAAGTTTCCAATCAATTTTTAAAGTAGTGGTTGTTGGTTCATAGTTTAAAATCGACTATACAATTTGCTCAATCAATTCATGAATTAAATCAGGCAATGAAGACTAATAATGTGTTATACTTAGCTTTTTTCTTTATCGCCGTATTCTTGGTACGCTATGACAAAATGTGCTTTTATTAAAGATAGATTTTCTATTCAATACTTATAATATTTCAGAAACATCCATGGGAACCAAATTATCAGATGAAACGTCATCAGCTGCTCTCTCTTATAAAAACGCAATATATGAATTAGGAAAAAAGTTTGTGGATAGATTTACGAAGGTTCACTACAATATAGACTTTATATTTGCTTTATCATCGATCGGGAGACAACAAAAAAGATATTTAGAAATTGTGCACGACTTCACGAAGAGGGTTATAAAAGATCGTAAAGAATACATAGAAACATTTGGAATCGATATTGATGAAATGAACGTTAGCGATGAAGACATATTTTTCAAGAGTAAGAGGAAAACAGCCATGTTGGATTTATTGATATCTGCTCAAAATAAAGGATTGATAGATGATAATGGTGTTCAAGAAGAGGTTGATACATTTATGTTTGAGGTAATTAGAAATTTTATGGTTCAAATATTTATAAACAAAGTTAATGTTCCGTTTTGTTGTAGCATACAAAATGAATGAATCAGCCCCTCTTGCATGACCACCGAAACGGGATATGATGAAGCGATATACCGGCATTAACTGTCAGAGTTGAATTCGACAGTAGTCTGACAGTTAATGCCGATATATCGCTTTATCATACCCGTTTCGGTGGTCATGCTCGAGGGGCAGGTATAGAATATACATATATGCTTTCTAATATATTGGGTCGACGATAGATTTAAAGGTCGAAAGCATATCTTACAGGTAAACCTGTAAGATATTAAGCATATCTAAAGGCTTTCATTTTTTAATAAGTATTAAGATGACTATGTTCAGTCACGATATGAATATGAAGATTCGTCAGTTTTGAAGTTGACTCAATTAACATGCTGCGTTAACCTTATAAAAAATTGTTATACGAGTAAAACAGGAAGCAATAACAAAGTTCATATTCATTGAGATCAAGGTTGTTATGACAATTTATCTTGTGTTTTATGTGTTCTCGACTCGCGAAAAGCAAGGTTCTATCAGCTCCTATCAGCCACTTGGATTCCTGACCCACCTTTTATTTATTTTAAAGTACCAATTCCTTTTTATTGTCAAGTAATCGAAAAAGTTTCTGTTACTTTTATGATTTTAAGAGTGATTTCGATATTCAAACTACTATTTCAATTTTATGTATAAGATAATCTATTGCATTAACTGAAAAAGGTATTTCTAAAATCTGTGATTCATATTAATACAGTTACCTTGTTATTAGAAAGTACTAAGTACAATTACGCACATACAATGAAGAAAACTCGTCTGTTTTGATATTTTTATGTGAATTATCGGGCAAGTGGGTCAGGAATCAATTGTTTGATAGTACATAAATGGTAGCAATCTCTATAAATTCGTATAAAACATCTTTATTGGTTAGATAGTTTTGTAATCATCAGTGATTCTGTATACCGTTTGGAACTATTTAAACGATGATCTAAAATAAAAATATTAACAGCACTGTTTTTTGTATTGATATGTTGGCATGATCGGTTCTTACATTATTGAAAGCGAAAACCGAGCTTCAAGACGAGCGTTTTCATTCTGCGACTATAAATAATATTAATACGGAATAATTTAGGTAAATTGTGAGAATATTTATAGGTAGAATCATATCATCCAGACCCTTAGCTTCCAGCTTATTAACCTAGCTTATACAAAATAAATGTAGATCTCAAACAGCTATAGAACAACAAGAAACCGAGCGAGCGAGAGTTGCAGCAGAGCTTCTGAAAGCATGTGGACAGTGGTCCTGAAAGTTCTTCAGAAGCTATTCAACTCTGTTATAATTGAGGGCATGGCACGGGGGCGCGGTTGGTGACACTCTACCTTAAAAAGGGTGATAGGATCCAATTGGAGAATTATTGACCCATTACGCTCCTGAGTCATGTCTACAAGCTTGTTTATAAGAGTTATAACGAATCGCCTCGCTCGTGAGTTTGACGACTTCCAGCATCCCGAAGAAGCTGGATTTCTAAAAGGTTATATTATAGTACCAAAGACCACACACACACACGCTGCGGCAGGGTATGCAGAAGACCGAAGAGTATAACCTACCACTGTACTCGTACTTAGCGTTTGAGGGCTATGAAAAAGACCTCGATTCTATCAAGACCTAGGCCGTGCTTCAGTCTATCCAGAGATGCCGAATAGACTCCAATCTTCCAATAGGTACATCCAATATGGGCTATGCTTTCGGTTTCTATGCGCGATCGAATTGAAAATGATGAGATCCGAAGGTGTACTAAGGTCGCCGACATAGTCTAACAAATTAAGAGTAATTAGTGGCAGTGGGAGTTGGCGGAGCATATTGCAATATGGACTGACGGACGGCCGTTGGGGCGGGACGGTCCTCGAGTGACGGCTGCTTACCGGGAGACGCAACGTTGGTGGGCCCCCCACAAGGTAGCCCGACGATCTGGTGAAGCCGTTGAATGCGGGCAGCGCAGGGCCGATCGGTTTGGAATTCCTTAGGGGAGGGAGGGAATATATAAAAATATATATTACGTCTATTTTCAGATGTATGTGGGAATATTTAAAAATATATAAGATACATATCTATTTTCAACCAGCGCTTGTTATTTTAGGGACACGACACTACAGCAGCGGCACTAGCATTTTGTTTGATGTCTATCGCTAACGATAAAGGAATTCAAGTAAGTATAGGTACAAATAAAAAGTTATAATATATAACATTTTTTTAATTAAATTTTAATTCAATGAATTTAAAATACCTACCTTATAGGTATTTAATTTTTAAATTTTTGGTAGTATTTAAAATTTTAATTTTTTCCCCTAGTATCTGATATTGGGAATAATATTATTAAGGAAGATTCAAAACTATTAGGTCATTTCACAACACATTAAAAAGTGTTTCAAAAAATGCAAAGATTTCGTTAGTTTATTATTAAGATTTTCTACAGTTTTGTTGTCTCATGTTCTAGGAACGGCTTTTCTCAGAGTTGGATGGAATATTTGGTGATTCCTCGCAACCTGCCACAATGGATGACCTATCAAGAATGCAATACCTCGAATGTTGCATCAAGGAATCTCTGAGGTTGTATCCTCCGGTACATTTAATGGGAAGAACGTTAGGAGAAACGGTTACATTGAGTAAGTGGCTAATTATATATTTTAAATGGAAGTAGTTTCCTTATTCGCGAAGGAGCGGAATCGAAAGACGTTGTCATGCTCGTTATAACGTATAATATATTTTTTATTTTGTTTTATTAATTTATTTTTAATCATTTAACTGCTAGATGTTTAAATCTAAATAAAATTTTACTAGATATATATTGACTATGTCCAGTTTTCAGACGGGATTCGAACGCACAACTTCTGCTTCCACCCGAATAGCGGAAGAATCCCGTCTAAAACAGCTATTAACCTTAGACCCACTTTGCCCCACTGGTGGGTCCAACTTGGACCAAGTGGGTTTTTTTCTAGTTAATTATAAAAAAAATATATAGATGATATCGGTTAAGTCGTTCTCAAGTTAATGCCATGACCAAGAGAAATGGGGATTAATTTTTTTATTACACAGATTTATATTGCATTATATTATCTGTAAATTTGAATATAGCTCAAACTACTAGTTAACTATAACTATGATATAATCATTGATAATATTTTTCCAGGTGATTATGTGGTTGAGAAAGGCACTTATATATTAATCCTCATTTACGATATGCATCGCCGGGAGGATTTGTTCAAGGACGCACTGAAGTATAATCCTGACCGGTTCCTACCAGAGAACAGTATTGGTCGACACCCCTTCTCCTTTATACCATTCAGTGCTGGTCCCAGAAATTGCATAGGTAAACAACTTTTGTTACCAGACATTAAAGAAAAAAAGATCTTATCCTTAGCTAATTGCATACTTGATGATACATACCTCCTCGCTGCCGTCGTCAGCGAAAACACTGGATTTAATGAAAAAGACAATAAAAAACATATAACAATTTTAAATTAAATGCAAAATCAAAATCAATAAAAATTCCGCATCAGCAGGAATCGTAGCATCGTCGTTGCGTTTGCATTCGAAATTAAAACCTTACAAAAGAGGTTGGTCAGTCGCTTATACACCTATGTATAAGCGACTGACCAACCTCTTTTGTAAGGTTTGCTAGCCATTCAAATGTCACCACATTTGAATGGCTAGCACAATAATCGTATAGTATTTTAAATCAGAAAAAATGTTACGGCCCGCAAATATTTCTAAATCCATCGGCAATTAATATGTGTATGTAGCTTTCTACTGATTTGGTACCTATATCTTTGTATTATTTGTAAAGTTAAAAAAGCCTGACCCCTTTTATTATAAAATTTTGATGAATATGAATCACTTAGCAGCAAAATATTTAATTTAGCTTAGAACAAAAAAAAATGTTATGGGAAATGTTATAAAATAACACAAGTGGATTGAAATTCGCGACTCACGTTAACTTTTGGCAACTGTACCTAATTTGAAATAAATGCCGCATGTAATAAGAACAAACAAGCTGTTCCATATGAACTTTGACATGCCGGCGGGACGAATACTTTCTCGCTAGTTGTTAGTGCTTGAAGTATTGTTCTTGTGAAACATATATAATGAATTTTTTGTAAAATTTTGCTGACCAAATAATTAAAATGTTAACCATTTTTAAGAATATACACACTAGTATACCTGTATTCTAAAATTACACTTATGCTTGCACTTTAGAGAAAAAAGTACGGAGAACTTACAATTCTAAGTACTAATACCTAATAATTATATATCATGAAATTTTACCTTTACTTATCTATACTTATAATAAATCTGTAGAGAGGTCAATTCTGTACATGATATATATTTTCAAAATAACTATCAGGGGGTGATTAGTGATCGATACTGATGCCAAAAATGCAATCAGTAAAATTTTTGTCTGTCTGTCTGTCTGTGTGTATGTTCCCTATAGAAACAAAAACTACTCGACGGATTTTAACGAAACTTGGTACAATTATTCTTCATACTCCTGGGCAGGTTATAGTATACTTTTCATCACGCTACAATCAATAGCAGCAGAGTAGTGAAGGGAAATGTTGGGAAAACGGGAGAAGTTACTCCATTTTTTAGCTTCCGTCGCGTGTGCAGCCTTAATGGTTAAAGTTACATAGAAATCATGTATAACGGAAATATTCTACATAAAATTGTCTAAAAAATATCCCGCAACAGCATATGTCTATCTTTTATTGTTGACTCACAATAACACGTGTAATTATATAAATAAAGTCATTGTTTATAGCAGAAGCCTGAGAACAAAAACTATAGTTTACACTACAGCTCTACACCGAAGCGAAGCGAGGGCGGGCCACTAGTATCACATAATTTTTGAATTGAAAATTCAGCTTGATGAAATGGTTTCATTGGTTGGAATTGTCTTATTATAACTGAAGCAAGATAAAGTCTTTCAATGTAAAAATGGGTCATGTTTAAATAATCATTAAAAAATAGTAATTGATTTTCAAAACTCTTTAATTTACCAATTTTATTTTATTTTAGGTGATCATTTACTATTTTCTTCAGGATTTAAATATTTTCCTTTTAAAATTGCCACAAAAAATCATTATACACAATAGTTAGAATTTGATTTGACCACAACCATGGACGTTTATACGTCCATGACCACAACAGCAACACTGTTGCCACAGCTGTGGCAGCAACAGTGTAAGTAATTATATGAATAATATAGGTACTAGTGACGTCTATGTAATAACTAGTAGTAGTAGGTCGAGTCGAAGACTAGGTTTTGGTGGTGTATGTACTTACAATATTGAATATGTTTTATTTCAGGTCAAAAGTTCGCAATGTTAGAGATGAAGTCCTCACTATCAGCAATCCTAAGGCGGTATCGACTAGAGCCAGTTACCGGCCACGGCGATATTGAAATTACAGCAGACGTCGTTTTGAGGACTTCTCATCCAATCCTAGTGAAATTTGTCAGAAGAGAAAAGTAGTTTTTTTAGGTGAATAAGGAAAAGAGTATTGAAATGTAGGGTACATTTATTGCACATACATATATGTATTAGTATTGTTAGGTATTTGATATTTTTACCTTAAGTAAACAAATCAAAACTAAGTGAACTTTTTATTAAACAATAAATAAATTGTATTATAACTCAGTTGGGAAGTGGTTTTTAATTAAATTACTATTTTAGAAAGTGATAGCAGTTTTTGTTAAACTTTCAATTGTTTGGAAATTAACATGAGCAATTGCGTAAGTATGATCAGTTGCTAATTAAATGTAATATCGTCATCGTACCCATAGCAGACACAGTATTAACTAGTATAACGGATAATATTTGGGATTCATCAAGGTTTAAAATATAACCCTAGATATTAAGGTGTGCCTAGATGTTTTCTCTATATGAATTATTGTTATTCTATTGTAATTTTTCATAAAAACATTCAACATGCCGTTAAGGATCTTTTAGACCCTATTAGAATGTTAGGTTCCTGTTCCATTTTTCGGAATAAAAAGTATGTCTTAATCAAGTTCATCAACTATATGAGAACCGAACATCCAAATCCGTTCAGCCTTTTTGCGTGATGGAGTAACAAACATACAAACTTTCACATTTATAATATTAGTAGGATTTTGGTAGGTATGCTTGGATTATAATACTTACTACTATATGTTAGGTATGTTATACTGTATGTATATGTTAAAGTATGTCACACAATTTAAATCTACAATATTATTACTTATCATACTTATAAGTTAAATCCGGTTCTCAGAGCAGTAGTAAGCAACGAGTCTGTTCAAACATACGCGTTTTAATCATGCTGTTTATAATTCTTATATCAACGGTTTGTTTTCTTGTTTTTCTTCACGTTTTGTTCAATTGTCATGAAAAGGCAAGGTTAGTAAGAAGCATACCGGGACCTGATAACATTTTTCTCATAGGAAATGCTTTGGAATTTCTCGCAACACCAGGTGAGTAACACAAAGAAGACATAGTTAATCTAACCCTCCTTCTTTCGTTTATCATATCTTTATAAATACGGATTTGTTGATAGATGGTTTTGTTACCCAAGCGATAACATCAACATCTTTTGATTCCTTTAATTTAGTGGTAATTCACGAGATACCTATAAATGCACTTACATAAATTATTATTAATATGGTATTTCTTTATATTACTTCGAGAATACGTCCTTTTGCGAATCCGACCAAGTGCGAACAGATGCTATTATAAACAATAACAGAAACAACGTTTCCCCTTATCTCTTGTAGGAGAGAATTACGACATAGATATGGGTTCATAATATTATAATTACCTAATTATTATTTTGCAGCGTAGCGTTTCCTACTCACTTTTCACATTCGGAATCCGTGGTTTGATTTAAAATTAGAACATGAATTTCAGATAAAGAACAATGCTAAAGGACAATGGCGAAATCCCATACAAATTTTTGTTGAAAAATTTGTTTGCGTCTATAAATGAATTGCATATTAAATTATAGAATTAAGATTCTCGATTTGATTCGTCTTATTTCTTTTATTATAGGAAGTCTGGATTTATAGATATTCTACTTTGAAGTTTTAGAGGTTATGTTAAACCAAGTTACAAAAACGAATTATAAAAGTATTTTCAAGAGTATTTTTATATCAAAATAAAAAATACGTGGAACGGAACTATAGAAGTTTACCGGTCCTGTAGATTATTGACGAAATAACAAACTGTTTTCTATAATGTATGATCAGTGGGCGTAGGTACTGACCAACCGCGTCAAAATCCTTATAATACTTAACAGACAAGGGTTATTGAGTTCGAACACAATATCTGTGCTGTAAGAAGTACTTAACACAATTTGAAAATGCCCACAGCAATAATAAAGTATAAAAAGGGTTTCTAATAGTGTACTAATGGGATATTAATTAAATATGAAACACTTTATATATTTTTATTCCACATCTTTGATCACAATATTATAGACAGTAGATACAATGAAATAAAATTCACAGTATGGGACAGAATCTTTTCCAAAATCCACAGCAAGAAGTCGTTCAAAATTCAGATTCGGAAGTGTTAGGCAAGCACTACTCAACAGTCGCAGGGAACGATTTCGAAAGTCCAAATGCAGTCCAAGTCACATTTAAAAAAACTCAGAAAAAACACAATACGCCGATTTAGATCTTTGCAATACGCATGCACTTATGCACAAGCAACAATATCGATAACAATAACAACAACAAATCGATGGCAAGCATGACAGTGACAGTTATAGTTTTTTGCGTTAGAATTGGCGCCGTACTCTTTTTGTATTGTGGAGATTATTTATTACGGTTTCAGTATAATATTGAAAAATAATGTTTCCCGATATTTTTGCTAGATAATTAAATACAGTTTAAGCGTAAAGCGATGCAACACATACGAACAACATATTTAAAATTGATTTCATCACTAAAATCACTTAAAATAAATGGGTCAAAAGCCATGATATCAAGCCACAATAAAAATAAAAAAGAAATAGTCAAATGTGTTTCCCTTTTTTAAGTTTTTAATTCCAGACTTAGACAACCCTCCTCAATTGTTTCATAAATCTTTTGAGATTATTTTATTAATATTTCTGATAATCACATCTATAGACGCTAAAGATTTACTTCAACAAATATTTCGCCATTATCCTTTCCATAGAATAAAACACAATCCTGACTGAAACGAAATATTTTTCAGATTTTTTAGTATTATGAAGGGAAAAAATATTGTGTAGGTAGGTATGTGTCAACATTAAAATCGATGACTAACTAACTGAGTGAAATAGCTATTTTAATAGGGGTGATGACGGGGTACAGTAAACGAAATTCTATTAAGTCCGTCAGTTAGATGAACAAAAAATAATGGACACGTATTTTTTCTTTGGGCAATCAACCAAAAAATGGCGTCAAAGTTTGGGAGGGCTCGTGATGTCACTTTTCAGTGAAAATTGTACCAAAACGTGACGTCATGCAACTTTTCAAATCAATATAGCTCTGCAATGATTATATTATGTGATAAAAGAAAAAATACGTGTCCAATACTTTTTGATAATCTACCTGATAAACAAGAAAAAAAAATTGTCATCATCCCTATTGGCAGAATGGAAAAAATCCAAACTTGACGGAAAAAACGAAATCTATGGCTAAATGAATGAAATTGCTAATTTTATTTATCAGGATTTTATTATTTTTTTCTAATATTTCAATGATATTTTATACCACCTATTTCATTTTTTTTTCATTTAATTATCTACTATATAAAAATAAGTCGGGTTTTCCTTCCTGACGCTATAACTCCAGAACGCACGAACCGATTTCCACGGTTTTGCATTCGTTGGAAAGGTCTCGGGCTCCGTGAGGTTTATAGCAAAAAAAATCAGGAAAAATTTCAAAAAAAAATCTTCTTTTAATCACCAAACGAAATGTTACATAAAACGAAGCCATCTGATTGTGAAACGGAGTTCGCCTGGTTTGCTAGTACTAATAATATTTTTCTTTTGTATTTGGATTTTTTTTCCATCATTCCAATTTCACTCATTAAGCCATCGATTTTGATGATGCCATCCTTCTGTTTATTTCACACCCTATAGTTTCATTTTATAATACAAAAAATGTGTGCTATACGAGTATTTCGTTTCTATCGGGTTCGGTTTTTTTCAGCCTAACTTCTAACACATCAAATGACAATCCTTTTAAATTACACCGACCAATTCCGCGGTGACAAGTGAGTTTATTTTTACAGAATAGTCCTGCAGGTAGCTTAAATAAAAGATGATGGGACAGAAATATCAAAGTTATCCCAGGGGCGTACGTCAGGGGTTCGCTGTGTGATTGCCAGAAGTTAGGTTTTTAATGGACATTGTTCAGCGTCCATACATAGTTAGCCTAAGAACCAAAAATCATGAAATATTATTTTCTAGGTTCGAAATCGTAAGTAAATGATTGTAAAAATAAAGATTATTGACGGACACTTCTGAGAACTTAAATTATTAGGAAAACTAAAATGTTTTTGAGGTTTTGTTTAAAATAGTTAAATTAAAGGAAAAACAATCGCAAATAAACACACCACAGGTAATCCGAAACGAGAATGCACTTTCTGGTATAAAGGTACTGCCACAGTGCACTCAGATTCATACTCAGAAAACAAGCGCGAGAAATAAACAGTGTAGTTTAAGCAGGGTGGCCATAGTGGCAGCAGGCAACCTGCTTAAACTACACTGTATATTTCTCGCGCTTGTTTTCTGAGTCTGAATCTGAATCTGAATCTGAATCAGGAGTGCACTCTGGCCGTACCCTTCGACTACACTGTTTATTTCTCGCGCTTGTTTTCGGAATCTGAATCTGAATGGACTCTGGCCGCACCCTAATAAACTACTCTTTGGAATGCACGAATGCCACAGATTACTACGAATGCAAACTGCATGCACCACAACCACAGAGTAATGAGTTTTATGCCGGCCCTTCACTTGACAACAGTTTGTCCTTGTCTTGCTTAATAAGGGTAGTTTTCCAATTACAGCACTAGAGCGAATTATGCGGCATAATGCTTATCGTTGAATGTTTCAACTACAGCAACGCTTCGCACAATCGAGCACTCTCAAAAGTACCTAATGTTTTCGTGTGATGCGTGCAATCTACCAACTCAGTGACAGAAAATTAACAAGTGTTTTTCTTTAAGTTTTGTTGGAAACTTTTTAAAGCTTTCGTTTCATTGTAGTTTTTTTTAAAATAATCAAAGCCAATTCAAACTTTGTTAAAAAATTAAATATATGTATGGATGAAGGTACAAACATTAACTTAGCGCACTCTGCTGGTGCATTTGAAAACTAATTCACGTTCCAATTAAGCATCAGCATAATTCGGCATTGTGCGCCACTGAGATTATGCTCTGTAATTGGAAAACTAAGCCAAGTGAAGTGCCAGCATTAGGAAGAAATAGTGTTTTGTTTGCAGCGCTGTCATAGATTATACACATAAAATGGTATTTATTGCCTCAGATTATTTTTCAACTTTTAAATTTAGCTTACTTAACTGGAAGTGTCGGTCACAATCTAAATCTGATAATTATCGCAAAAAATATACTAAGAATTATCATAAATGCCAAATTGTTGTTGGTTCTCAGGCCAATTTTAACATTGTCCTTTATATATCATACATAATAAACAGTAGTTATATATTTTTTTTACAGCATTAGATAAACTACAGTGATTTGTAGCAATGCTAATTACACGTCAGGCACTCGCTTAAATAGTTAATTAAATACAAAGTACTGTGTTTCTAGTTAGGTGCAGGAGTATATATACAGTCAGGTGCATTCCAAAGTCTGTTAAATAAAAATGTTGAACTTGTATTTTACATTCAGTTCATATAGTATGTAAGAACCAGCGAGTGCGTTATACAACATTACCCTAATATCTGCATGATAACTGAAAATATTGAATGTATAGAGCGTAGATTTTGAGCGCAGTCCAGTGCCACAAACTTTTCGGTGCCGATGGCAAAAATTTGAACTACAATTTATCCCTAACATTTTGTCATTTTTATGCTCTGAGTACTGAAACCTATGGAGCTGGGGCATTCCTACGAAAAAAACGTGTACACCTAAAGTTACTAGGAAACGAAAATGGCGCCTTTACATAGTGCTGCCCCAAGGCTGCCCCATTGTGCATCGATATCGCTATATACACAAGTAATTTTGTGACGATATTTCGATATTCCATAAAAGTGATTTTTGACATTGAGACCATAATTTTTTAAATTGTTATTTCCTTATATCACTAACCGGTCTAGAAAAGATAGTGTCGTCTATTTTAAGACAAACTATAATTAACGAACTTTCACGAAATTAACCGAAAATTGACTTAGAATAGAATAAATAAAATGACATAAGTACCTATAAATTATACAATTAAATTAAGTTTGACATTCACATGCTCTGTCGTTGGCAAAATGGA